GTTATGAACTTCTGTCTACCCTTTCGGGGAATGTAGAGCGTGTTATGTAGATATAGCCAACGATTTCACGGTAGTAACAAATTAACTATGTAATAAATAAGTTTAGTTAAACTTGTAGCACGCGATTGTAAATATAAATTAGCTTATTTTTAAACTAGGATCGTTATCTAGCTCTTTATAGTCCTTCGTGGTACATTGGATGAATATTAAAGTTTTAATTGTTGCCTTCTTTGAATACGGCACGGCTACCGTAGCCGTAGGAGATGTATTTGGCGCGGCTAACAGTACCCCATACTGTCAATGTCACACATAATATTATTCTGAACTCAGTGGGCTAATTAATTTTACGATACTCTACATAGTTGAAGACAATTTGTTTATGTTTTAGTTGTAGGTTTTATTTAAGAGAGGAAAATCATCGAATGTCTGCTCCCGCCTGAGTGAGGCGGGAGGGAGTGTCAGACTCTTAATGAGTAAAAACCACCCCGTTCCTATTCCTGCAATTCGAACGGGAGCCCAGGTAACCCATTATGTTCTCCGCGGCTTCGTATCGGCATCAACCCTATTGGGCCCCATCTGTGGTGGTCTGATCGCTCTTTGAGGAGCGCGCAAAACGCGCCTCGCCGCACGCTCGGGTCTTGTTCTGGTCGGGCGGCGAGCTACACATGCTCGCCGTCCGCTACTTAGCTTAGCTAGCATGACTGCTTTGCAAAAAAAGGAGACGGCATCCCAGTCCCCCTCGCTCCACATCATGGTTGTCTGGAGTATCTAATATCGAGAATTTCTAACTTGAAGCAAAATTACTAATTGAAGGTCGAAATGTGGATTTCGTGTCCATTTACGCACTTATGGTCAATGAGTCTATCGATCGAGGCCGTAAAACTATTTAATTAAAATAAGCGTTCAATATATAAAGGGTTAAATGTAAAAGGCCCGTAAGTTATCCTCTGCTAATTTAATTAACGAATGATTGAAAGTTAACATCAACCAACACATAACAAAGCTTTTACAATTTTGTTGAGTGAGTAGTTACTAGGTAGTTAGTATTAACTTTATTATAGACGGAGCTTCATGAATGGAGTTTAAAGTTAGTTAGGTTGTGTGTCGAGCACTTAAACCAGCTATTAATTAAACTAGGTATAGGTGATGGTGATGAGACTGCACTAAAAGCGTTACGAAGATAATTTATGTTACCTGAGTAAGAATACATTTTAGAGGAAGGTATATTAGAATATACTGCGCAGTTAAAATCTTACATTCTTCACAAACAAGGACTGGCTCATAATGAGCTACTAGGTACTTCAGCGGTTACAAACGCCACGAACCTTGGACCCCGCACTTCACACAAGTGTTTTTGAGAACATGATGTTGAACTTTTTTGTTTGGTAAAATATGATATTACAATGCAGGCAGGTGCGGGTTGAAATATGTTTTATTCAATGTACCTAGTGTCTGTGATGCGAATCGTAAATATACTTTTGATTTTTCATCACAACATAAACCAAAAGCCGATGTTTGATAAAAACAATACACATTTATGTTCAGACAATTGCCCACAAAAGCCCCAGACCCTCGTCACGACTTACTTATAAAATTCAATTTACAATCTATAAAACATTCGGCGAGGGTTAGCAAGGGCAAGACGATTTTATAAATCTATCTATAGAGCAATAAACGAATACAAATACAAAAAAATAAAGGTTGACAAACTTTCGGCAGGACACGGATCGCATAGAAAATATGGGGACGAAGATGCGAGCATTGTTGTTAAGCATTCATATGCCACCGCTCACCCATTGCCGGGACATCCGGCGCTACTTCCGCTGCCAAAGATGGAAGATCTTCGAGTGAATAGTTCGTTGACAGCGGCTGCCGATAGCTTCACTTCCAAAACATAATAATTATAACTCGTGATATAGTCTTGATAACGCGCAACAACAACACTGGAATACTGCACCACGATTTGTGATCTTTATTAAATGCGTATGGAGCGGGGCACACGGCCGCGGCGGCCGCTCAGCCGCGTAAACTTACGTTTAGAGCGTCTTCAGTAGCTATTTTTGATGCAAAAGCGCGTTGGACGCCAATGTCTAGAGCATGCACGGAATATGCAATGTCGTCAGCCTTCACGATTACACCAGCCGCACACATTTCTATGGACAACAGGTAGATTTTATATGTAATTGATATTTTAATAAATTAACAATTTACTCGTACTTATCTCTTTCAATTTAGTCGGCTTAGCGCAGTGCATTAACCGCCAAATTATTTGTCTGGAATATTTGAACCTAAACAATATTACACATCACTTAAATTAAGTGGCTATGAATAAAATGATAGAAGTATTGATAGTAAATTCCTAACACTTAAACAAATATTTAAAAATAGACGCCTGTAAATCTGTTACCTACCTGTAGGATTACTCATATAGACGTAGTAAATAGATCTACCAATTTGTACGACGACGGGTATCTTCCTAAATACTGGATACATACGACGGACATTTAATCGGACATCCTATTTCTGGTTAAGGTTATTAGCTAGTTAGGGCACTTTACGCAATAGACCTTCAACACTGAATGCCGAGTGGGATAATGCGCTGAACTAAATAAACTGGAGCAAATTCATTAAGAACCATTCATCCTTGCACTAAGGGAACAAGCGACCCAATTCTTAGATCATATTTTGACCTCAATACAAGAAACTTTGTTAAATATTTGGTAGATGCTCCATTTATCTAAAGATTTTCATAATAACGCTAATTTTCTTATTTATTCAACTCACTAAGCCGAAACGTGTTGCTGAATTAGCAATCATTTTTAGATTGTTAGTAGCTATTTGTTAGCTGTCCTTTAAATATGTATGTTGCCCAAGTATGGTTTGTTTGTTTAAATGTATTATTAATCAATGGATTTGCTGGGCTTTTTACCCGACCGAAGTAAGGGTTTGGTTTTCGGCTACCCAACCGAATTAGATATAATATCATATATCGTTAGATACGTCTTGATAACCCAAAATTTCTTAGATATATGTGACATTGAAAAAAAAAACACCAACCATATAAGACCAGGATATTTGAGTCAAAAATAATAATGAGTTACGACTGTTCCAGTTGTTTTACTTAAATTACTATCTGTGCTTCTGAACTGAACTTGTTTTTTATTTTTTAGATATTTTATAGTCGGGTTTCGAAATTTTTCAATTTATTTTTTTTGCATAAATAGCTTGCCGTCACATTTAGTAGGACATAATAGATAGTATTTATTATTATGTCGTGCACAGATGGAATTATACAAATATGGTTAGTAATGTATTTTCGGATGCGATTGTGGGACTAGAAAATGTTTAATGCAAGACCCACATCACAGTTATCTAATTGCCTATTGTCTACAACGAAGTTTATTTTTAGAGTATCTATTTAATTAATCTTTGTTGTGGGTTAGACAGAGAAAATAAAATTTTATTTTCTGAACAAGAACTTCTTTAAGGCGCCATTATTTTTGGAAAGAAGTAGATTGTTGGACATTACTTAATAATAATTAATTATTGGAGATAAGATGGATATCTGGAATTATCTTTAAATTCTTAAGAGTGTAGAATACGATTTATTAGAAATTAAATAAATTCACTTCTAAACCCGAAAATATGTATGACTAATATAAATGTGACTTTATTTACGAGTAAGAGGCAAAATTAGTACATTTAGCGCAATGATGTGACGCAGTTTCAATTGATAGAATCTAGGTAAACCTACATAAATGTAGTTATCATAAGTTGTACTCTCTCTTTCTGTGCAAGCTGTTCTATCAGGCTAGTGCAATGTAGTGATTTTATGTCCGCGCAGTTTATCCACCTGAATGCATCGATCCGAAACACTAGACGCGCAGAGCGGGGTGCTATACAATAACGATGTTAACAACCAATATCTACATAGCAAAATTCAATATCGTACCAGTTTTGCCCGGAGACGGAAATTGACAAGACGAGAATAGTACCTAGCTAAGAGCAATATAGTTAAATAAATCGATACAAAATAGTCATCACGGATATTCCCCGTCCATTATGGCAACAGTAACTACCCAGTTATTAAGAAAACAGCTCACACAAACACAATCAGATTTGTTTTTGTGTACATCTAGCTGTTAATAAACGCGTTGTTCGTGTTTTATTTTATGTGTGTAGGTAGGTGATAAGTGCGTAGAAAAGCAACTAAATATTTTTGTAGTCGACTTATTTGCGATGATGTACCTAGTCACTGAGAGTAACTAATGGGTAAACGGTACATACTCGATATGTACTCATAGCTTAAATCAAGATTTAGAAGAGAGGTAACTAGTTTTATAAATAACCTTAACTCGTTGAGTACCGTCATTATAGACACAATTAAATCTATTGTTCTATAATTGTGTCTACAAAACCGGTACTCGACGAGTTAAAGAACAATAGGTTGCGGTTACCGGTGACCGCGCGGTGTTAAACAGTTTAATTAACCTTAATTGTTAAATCGCTTACACTTTTTAATTCAAACTTCCTATTGACATCGGATAAACTGTCTTCTATTTATGAATCAAATCATTACATCAGCACAGGTCACTCACAGATGCAGAGTTCTAGTACGGAGTGAAAGTAATTTCGGGTACACTGACCATGACATGAGAGGTTATTGAACTTGATCTCCAATTTGCTGTCGTTGATTGTTAAGAAAAGGTGGAAAACCACGAATTGTTTAGACATCATTCTGCTTCAATTAAAGTTTTGCTACTAAAAAATTTATTTCATACTTACATTGAACTGCTATTACCTACTTTCCATCACTCAGTAAACGTATTTATTCTCATTTTTATAAAATAAAAATACTTTAAAAGACATAAATGTACAAATTTACAGACTAAAATTCATCGGTTTACTGTCTACTTTAGTTGATACAATTCGATTCGACGTAAGAATCGACTATGGCATAGTCGACAGCGCTTAGTAAGCGCGGCACCACAGCGCTAGCTCCGATTCAGTATCTGCTTGGGTCTCGTGAGGGAGGGTCGCGTGAAAATGACTGGCGTTGATGAAATACTAAACTATCAAAGGAACCCTAACGACGATTTCTACGGTTTGCTGGGCTGTGACGAAAACTCCAGCGTAAGTACTTTTTTTTATGAACGACAGTTTTAAATTATTATTGGTTTGAAGTAGTGCGAATTTCGAATTCTAGTGCTTAGTTTATTGATTGTTCTGTACTGCCCGATGACCTTATTTTGTTGAGGACCCTGAGAGTTGACCTACATCTGATAAAAAAATACAAGTGCATGTATGAATGTGGTATTCATACAAACTGTAATCGCAAACGAAGGGATTATTCCGCGATAGAGGAAACTTAAGTAAACTTTAGTTGAGTCAATGACTTGTGTTTGGGTTTATCCAGTTCCCCGTTATATTGCGTTTCTTCGTAAATGACGACCGTAGCAAATTTTAATGAAATAAAATGTGATTCAACGTGTTTTATGTTTGCAATTAGTTATAGTGATGTTAATGAAATGTGCATTGATTACAGGCTGAGCAGATCATTGCTGAGTACAAGGTGCTGGCTTTGCAGTACCACCCTGACAAGAACGATGGGGACAAGGAAGCTGAAGCCAAGTTCCAGCAACTAAAGGTAAGAAATAAGTTCAAATGATTTTATTCTTCTCTGCTAAAGGTATACATTTGAAGTTTGTTTGTTGTCAAAATGTTAGGACGCGCGAAACCCGCGCAATAATAGACCGTATTTGAACTTCAATAGTTTTAAAGAATTTATATGACCTTTTGGAATTCACGCTACGCATTAGCATTAATGTTCATTGATAGGTCTACAAGAAAAAAAATTTTTTTGTTGAATAATTTCTTACTACCTACACAATACTTTCAACTTGTTTATTTATTTTTAATATTCAGATCACCTTGAACGATATTTCACTTATCAAGGTGACAATTAATTAAGTATATTAGGTAGCTGGTTATGTTTATTTTTATTAAACCATTTACGTAGATATGGATCTATGTACCTGTGTACACCATGGATATGCATTAAATTAATTGCTTATTTCCTTGGAAACCGTTAATTAGTTATTTCCTGTTAGAGGTACGTAGTTAAAAGATTACCTCGTTGTGGGTAGGTCCAGCAATCGTGTTAATGACTGCTGAGTTAAAATCCTCGATTAATTAAAGTAATAGGTACTATTGAGATTTTTGGCATTTTGTATATGGCCCATAGAAAAAATCGTCATCAATGGACCCTTATAACTTGGAACGAAGCAAAAAATAGCATATACAAAATAGGAATAATTATGGCGGTATCTACCTACATTTCAAAAGCGCGATGTAGACCATACTTAATTATAAAAACAAAACTTCAATTGCTTCTTGCAAATTAATAAAATAAGCACACGAAAAAAGATACGATCATCAAAGTTTTCTAACTGAAAATTGTTAATTCAGTATTTAAACTGTTTATATTTCCCCGAGGCAGTTTTACGTAGAGAATTAATAGGGCTACATGAAAAGGGAAGTTCAAGTACCTAACTAAAGTTTAATGTTTAACTTAGTTAAGACTTTAATTTGTTCAACGTGTATTCTAAAGTACTTTGAGACATTTTCATTTTATATGAACCAGTTATAATTTTTCAAGGATTTATGTCAGTATATTGTTCTGCGATTCCGTATTTACTTACGAATCAAAAGAGCCTGGGGCAATGGGGTTTTGTATATTTTATATTGTTTCTCTTTTATCACGTCTCGGGCTAAAAGTTCCCGAAAAAGAGTTTCAATTTACATTTAAGTTTTTAGAGCAAAGTACTTTGCTATTTTCAGTAGTATCTCATAAACACAGGAATTCTAATCGATTCAAGGTAAATAAACTTGCTCTTATTACATGAGATTTGGCAAGTTACATTAATTAAGACAAACACCTCTGTTTCGAGAAATAAAAGGTGTTTGATCCACTATTACATTGGGAGTTATCACAAACTATGCACAGTTCGATATTCTGCATACACATACGGTATGACCTAATTCCGGAATGGAAATTGTAGCGCATGCCGCTGTGTGCTATAGAGATAGGGCCGGGAGAAGGCGTGGTATTGAAGTGGACCAAGCGGGGTGTGTCGAGAGTTTTATAGTCTTGGATAGTGCCTTAATTAATTAGTTACGTTTTGGTGCGTAAAGGTAATCAGTACTGCATTGTAGACGAGCGAAGGAAGGTTCTAAGTACTTCGATTATTAGATACTTTAGCATTTGTATTTTACTACTACTAGACATATAATAACAGAACATGGAAATCATGGTGTAATATGAGATCAGACATTAGGTACCCAATCTAGAATCATGTGATGTGAAGAAATTAGTGTTATTGAAGAAACTTACAAGCAGCGTATAATATGGAAGAGGACAAGAGATGATTTTTTTATTTTTACGGATCACCTGACGGTAAACAATCGGCGCAGTCCATGGACACCAGAGGTGTTACAAGTGCTTTGCCGGCCTTTTGGGGATTAGGTATTTGAGGATTCGGGGATTGGGGAGGGCGGTAATTGGACCTCCGATAACCGCACTCATACGACGAAACACAACGCAAGTGTTGTTTCATGTCGGTTTTCTGTGAGGCCGTGGTATCTCTCCGGTCGAACCGGCTCATTCGTGCCGAAGCATAGGCATAGGTAGTGGGAGAGGCCTCCTACACTTTAGGTGATGATGATGGATAAATGTACAGATTCCTAAGTCTAGTTATTCATGATTATTCATAAAATACTAGAGCCTACATCGTTTCTCGGTTAGCGATATTGAGCGGACATTGATATTGTTTACCTTTTGTGGTTTGTAACCGCAATACGAATACAATATCTTTGTATAACATTAACAACATCGTCAGAGATCGAGAATTTGCTACATTAAATAAAAAATAGTTTATCAGTATGACGCAACATTGATTCAAATAATTTAATACTTAGTTCATTTAGCTAAATAAACTAACTTATCAATCGTAACTAATAATAATGTTATGACTTTTATTGTTTCTTATTAGGAGGCGAAGGAGACGCTGTGCGATCCGTCTAAGCGTGCTCTGTACGACAAGTGGCGTCACAGCGGCATCGCCATGGGCTATAAGCAATGGCTGGGCATGAAGGACCATGTGCAGCAGTCCATGCACTGGAGCAAGCCTAACACCAAGGATCGCATGCTTGAGGGAGAGTGTGGCCGTGCTTCGGGCCCCTCCAGCCTGGGGCCCAGCAACCCGGCAGCTCGCAGGGCCTCCGAGGGCGGCGCCGCTCTCTGGGGCCGCTGGGGAACTGGCAACCAAGAACCTCCCTCTGAGGTCATTTCCAAGTTCCGCAACTATGAAATCTAAACCCCAATAGTCCCACTCTTCGGCTAGTCATGTCTTAACCGACTTGACAAGGTCAAATCCCGGGACTGTTTCTTATTTATTTATTTTTGAAAAGAGGTTACTTGTGCCCTAATCTCTTTATTTTATTAGCATTTCTTATGTACTTAATTTAAAAAATTGACCCAAGTCACATTATTTGTGATATTTTTGCAACCAGGCTGTTAAATTAATTAATTACTTGCCATTACAAGTTTAAAATTTTAGTCATGTTGTATTTGACACTTATTGAGTACATATTATATTTAAAATTAGGGATAATTATTATAAATAAGTTAAATATTTATGTATGTATTATAAAGTAACGGCACAATATTCATCAAGTCAGCTCGCGGTACGATTCTCGAATGTGGCTCGATATTCTACGTTAAGTAATAATTACTGTTTTTGAGTGTTTGATGTACTAAATGTATTTCTGTTGTACGTAGAGTCAGAATTTGACGTAGTAGGTACCCCGACCCCTAGAATGGTGTATTAGTGTTTAACACTTAGCTGTTACCCCTTTAGTCTTAAGCTGTGCACATTCCTGATAAACTTATGAGTCTGATTTATTACATTTCTGCTATATCAATATTATCTACTACTTGAAGAATCTCGATATTTTGAAGATTTATATTTTTGATCCTCTTTATCTTACTATAAGTATGATATTATTTTAAAAGAAGAGAGTGGGTATATAACGGGTGTCGTTGTGAGATATATACAGGGTAAAGTTGCGAGACAGGACTGTTTTATTTGTTTTTACCTTCTGCAACCTTGTCATTCTACTTTCTAATAATCATGGTCTAATGACGTAAGTAATCATTAATCGTATTTGTTCCAAGATAAATGTTGTGTTACCTGATAGTTACGTAGAAATAAATGTTATGTGTTAAATGTTTGATCAGTATTTAATTTATGTATTTTAAAAATATAATTAAATGTTATAAATGGGTAGTGGAATTTTAAAATTTAAATGTTTTGTCTCGATAAGTATTTTAAAAGCTAAAGCCAAAATGTATAAGATGTTTTTATTTTTGATGTAATACATCTTTGAAAAACAATAAAGGTCTGCTGAACATAATTGCGTTTCAATTCTACAACCTATAGGTATGATGTCTTAAGTTACTATGACTTGAATTGTTTAATAGATACCAAGTTGCCTAGTTTTATAATTACCTGCCTTCATAAGCAATAATGGCATTAATATAGGTTTCTGGTCTTTTATAAAAATAAAAGCAACAATAGAGGTATTGGATTGTTATCACGATTCCGTATCTAATTATTATTGTACTTCGATTCTAATCATAATTATTCAAGTAAATAGTGTAGCTAATGGATGCCTTCAATGGTTTGCATTTGCATCATAATATTATTTAAGCGTCATGAAAAAGAGTATTAGCTACTTGTATTCGTAATTCGTAGTAAATAACTTTTACTTATTGACTTCATCTTATTGGTATTTAGGGAATGCAGATCTCGAAATTGACGAGATCTCGCGAGATTGAGAGTTTATTATATTTTTCAGTAAATACTTAATCATAATATTGGAATAAATTAAGTAAAAATAATAGATTATAAAACATGAGAAAAACAATATTCTTAACAATTTTTTTTTCGCAAGTGGGTTCTCAATAATTTTGCCTAAAGTTACGTGGACGTAGTTGGGGGCAAAAGCTAGTTTTATTTAATGAAATTTGATTAGTTTACTAGGTTGGTACTTCTACTTTCACGTACTTACTTACATAATTATCAAATAATAAGAGAAAGAAACAATTAGTATTTTCTTTTAATATAAAACAGAAATCCTTTAATAAGGCTATCTCATAAATCTCGCGAGATCTCGTCCATTTTTACTAGGATAATCTCGCTAAAAATGGAGATCGACAGATCAAGACAATGTTCCCTACTGGCAATGTACGGGATTCGCCCTCGGCTTTAGCTAGCTAAAGGATTATCAGCAAGACCCTAAAATTAATGTCTTTAGTGTAGTAAGTTCAAGTTTCAAAAAGGGGTTCGTCAAGGATGTATCATTTCTCCTATATTATTTAATGTATATGGAGAGCGTCAAACTCTAGAAAACTGGGAGGGTGGTGTCAAGATAAACGGATTCAGAATATCCAACCTCCGGTTTGCGGGTGATACTACCCTCTTCGCATCATCGGACGCTGAAATGGCGGAATTTCTCAACCGGCTCGAGAAGGTCAGTCTGCAAATGGGTCTGGCTATCAAAAATCCAAGACCAAGCTCATGGTGATCGACCGTTTTGAGGATACTCAACGCACCAATGTCTTGCAGGAATACAAGACTGTCAATCAGTTTCGGTACCTTGGATCGGTAATTACAGACAAGGGCAGTAGTGAACCCGAGATAAGAAGGCGCATTGAAATGGCAAGAACAGCAATGACCGTACTGAGCAAGGTATTGAGGGACAGGAACATCTCAAATCGGACCAAAATGAACCTTGCTCGCACAATTGTCTTTCCCATCGCTCTTTATGGCGTAGAAACGTGGACAATCAAGGCCGCCTTCAGGCAGAAAATTGACGCTTTTGAAATGTGCTGGCGCAAGATGCTGGGGATACCGTGGACAGCTTACCGTACAAATGTTTCTATTCTGAAAGAGTTAAAAATGGACAAAACTCAGCACTTGTCCACAGTTTGCTTGCAAAGGATTGTGCGATACTTTGGCCATATTGCTCGCAGAGATGATGGCACTCTGGAACGCCTCATAGTGACTGGTAAGGTAGAAGGAAAGAGACCGAGAGGCCGGAGTCCCATACGAGATAAATGGCGACATCTAGTGAGCAGAATCAAAGGGAGTCACGATCCTCAGTAGTGAGGGAATCGACTAAGAACAAGTAAACAGGTAAACAAACAAGCCAGCTATCTGACGTATGCTGAAAAAGGTGATAGTTATGATATATTCAGCTATTCTTATACAATATGTCTTTGTCTAATATCCTATGTAGATCACCCAATACTTGTGTACACACGGTCACACATCAATCTATACAAAACCAGTTTATCCTGGTGTCGCGTCGCACCATCTTTCCGCACATTTAACGTTCAGTTTATACTGGTTAAGTAAAGCTCGATGTGTAGCCGTGTGTACCAATGATTTATGTATGATTCAATGATATTGATGAAATGTCGCTTATGTTTGCGTGGATGTTCGAATACTTTGGTTAGGTAAATTGATAATTTGACCTGAGAAGTTACAGTTGTGAATTAAAATAGTCGCTATTTATTAAATTAATTTCAATTAAAGGTTTGGATAGGATAAGTAACTTACTTACCTTTAAAAGTTGGCCCATTGGTGTGATTAGTAGCAGTCTCGGAGAACCTTCCATCTTTTGCTTTTAAAACTTCAACCAACTTAACCCCAGCTTAAATCCCGGTTGAAGATTGGAGACCACATAGTCTAGCAAAGCAATAAAATATCAACAAGTAGCTTAAAAAATAATTTAAGGTAATTAAATAAATACATAGACTGCAGATGTGTACAGAACATTAATTAATAAAACCATCTTTATCTACTCTACATACTGGTACCTACAAGGCTACGACTAACAATAGTTCTCAACGGACATAATAAATAAAAATATGTAATATTCGTTGATCTAAAAGGTGCTCATACATTACAATTATTATTATTATTACCACAAATAAACTTAATATCTACTTACATACATACCTCTAGGAACCTCGTTTCAAGATTTTCAAACTTAAATACGACTTGCCAGTTACCCATAAGTATTGAAGCTTCTGAAAAAGAACACAAAGGTGTATGGCGAATCGGTTCCTCGCAACTGCAGAGTCAACATGCATTTTTCAGGGAAAATATTATGTAAACAGGTCGCGTGACATAAACATACACATGTGAAAAAGAAACAACAAGTTTTCACGTAAGGCCCCATCCTGTTTAATCATTCCGAGGATTGTTGTGTTGCAAAACATGAAGCGCGTGCCTACCCACATACCTACGTACCTAGTTCATCACGTTATTTACATGTTGACAATTTTACTTACATTCATACTGCATGATTAGTGTTAAGAGTCACTCATTACTGGCTATTGACCAGAATTGTTCGATTTCTACATGAGGTTTTTGACCAAGGTTTTTGGTAAATAGGCTCTGATGGGGTGCTTCAAATGAGAAACAATCACGAATTTAATTCAATAAAGGAATGTTATTCACCGGTTATGTTAAAAGTTCCCTGCAATAAGAGGTTAGCCTATTGTTACCGGGTAGTTTCAGATATCGTTTTGCAACTGAGATTTTGAAAATTGTTAACCCAATACTTTACCCATCGTGGTGGTTGTGATTACTTGATCAAGCAACGAGACAGTTTAATATGTAAACACTAGGAAGCAGTTTCTGCTCATCTGTTTCCTTTTCATCTAAAAACTTGTATCAAAAGGCCTTTGCCCTGCAGTTGGACGATCATGGTTGAAAATAAAATAAATAAATAACTCCTATCAAAATAGCTGCTAGAAAAACATGAAGGATGAAGGCGTGGGTAGACCCCATCGGTGCATGGTTGAATCAACAATCCTTCTTATAATCTTACAATATTTTAAATGCCACAGGGTTAATTTTAATCGCTGACATTCGTTGCTTGCGTCATTTAACGTTAACCCTCAAGGGTTCAAAGTATGTATTAATAAACTGAAAGGCTCTTAGCTCTTTTAATACAACATTTAAAGCATCATAAAAGATGCGTAGGTACCTAATTTGCTCAATAATTCAGCCATTAAATAGCTTCATACGAACATCCTATTTATAGAAGGTAATTTATTGAATTAAGTCTTGTATGGTATTTCATTACTTGCTTCCGAAGATGCTTTCTATACTGTTTTATATTGAGAATAATGGAGATATTTGTCTAAATATCTAGATATTAGGCATGAAAGAAACGTTCCTGGTTTCAATATTTATCATATTAATCTGAGCAGAGTACTCTACAGTTACAAGACTGTCATTTTACATTATCATTTTCCCCACCATAATAATCCGTGTGCCATGCGACCCACTGTATTGTACAGAATCGACAGATACGTAAATTATAAGTAATCAATTGGATTTGTACGATTTAATTGCACTTCAAATTCTTGATTAACAACA